ATAATGCAAAAGAGGACCACGTTACCTCTCCCCAAAGCCACTCGAAGACAGGTACAAGTGAGGACAAGAAGATGAAGGACTTGGAGAGCAAAATCAACGCGTTGATGAACGCTCAAGAGGTGAAAAGGTCCGGCATACCATGTCCATATCCAAGGGAGTGGGAATCAATTCCATATCCGGCAAAGTTCAATTTAATCAACTTTACGCCGTTTGATGGAAAGGGTTCCCCTACCCAACATTTAATATATTTCAAGTCTCACTTAGGAATAATCTCCGGCAATGAACCCTTGATGGTACGGTCATTCGTTGGCACTCTTCGCGGAGCGGCCTTCGATTGGTATCGTCGCCTCAAGCCGGGGAGCATCAGCAGTTGGGACGACATGGAGGACATGTTTCTGACGAACTTCTTCGACGACGACACTGAGGTCTCAATCAGCACTCTGTTTGAGGAGAAGCAGAAGAATGGTGAGACAGTCGAAAACTTTGTGAAGAGATTCCGGAATAAGGCAATGAATTGCAGGGATCCGGTCAGCGAAGATTTCATCCTCGAGACCTGTCACAACAATCTCTCCTTGGACATCCTCGAAGCTATGGGAATGGCGCCACCAAAGACCTGGAAAGACCTGAAGGTGCGAGGAGAACGAGCCGAACGATTCCTCAAAAGGAAGAAGACGGAACGGAGTCAAATAGCTAATAACGCTCCACAACCAAACTTTGCCCCTAAGGGAAGAGGAAAAGCACATGCAAATACCGTGAATGCAAATCAGACGTTCGAGGTGCAAGCGCAGCCACAACAGCAGCAGCAAAAGGCGCCTCAACAACCAAGGTGGCAACAACAGACCCCGAAGCCAAAAGCCTCGGAGCCGAAGTTCCCGAAAGTTTATTCGTTCAGAGAGGATGAAGTTCCCGGTATCTTCAAGTACCTCATTGAGAATAACAAGATCAAATTGCCTCCAATCCAGGATCAGAAAGATGCCAAGAGAGTCAATGATCCAAAATACTGCACATTTCATAGAGCGGTGCACCACCCTACCAAGGTATGCTATGCCCTTAAGGACAAGATCCAAGCTCTAATCGATGTCGGGGTCATCACAATGAAGCAGCCGAAGGAGAAGAGAGTGGGAGCAAATGCAGTATCGATTAGCTTCGGTTCTGTTCCCTTAAACTGGTTCCAACATGAACCAGTAATAAATGCAGCTGTGAAGACGGTGAACGATGATCCTCACAAGCAGCGCCAGAAAGGACTTGTGCCACACACAGCCCCTAATGGTGAGATTCTTTGGGTCCATCCAGATTTGATTGAAGATTTACAATGGACTGGAACCTCTTCCAAGAAAAAGTCAAAAGGAAAAGGTAAGTCTTGTTATGGAGTTTCTGCTATTCCAGGGGAAGATGACGAAGCAATGCCTGCTTTCTCATTTCCCGACAATGAGCATGGGAATGAGTATGGTCGACTGGATGGGTTGGAGATGATCACAACTATCCCCGCACTCGCTGAGAGGACCCAACAGGAGCCCCTGCAACAAGATGTCCAAAACCCGAGGCAGTCTCGATTCAATCAGCAGATTGGAAGAGATAAACCGGGAGATTCAAACATTTCATACCACTTCGATGTTATGACTCAATTGGCTAACATCCCAGTAAAAGTGACTCTACACGAGTTATCACGTCTCTCTAAAAACACTAGGGATGCGTTCAACATTACTCCTGACCAGCTCACTCAAATAGTTCAAGAAGCATTAATCAAGCAGAAAGAAGAATTTGAGGGTAAGATGGAATTGGCTATGCGACAAATAAGAGAGTTGCAAGCTGAAAGGTGTAAATTTCCTAAATCGGATCATCAAGCTGGGTCTAGCTGTTGCGTTACCCCAATCACGCCTACTCCAGATAGGACAAATAACAATGGTCCAAATTTGAATATGGTTGTCAAGACTGATTCACCCCTCGATAACACTGGGGGTGGTACGACCAGATCCTTCAATGACACTGGGGGTGGCCCAATTCCTACTTCTCGACATCATTTAAAGAAAAATGAAAGTGAAGGCGAGAAGCAGAAAGAAGTTGAGTCTGTCACCACCTCGACTAGACGCTATCCTAAAAGAAAGAGGGTCGAGGAAAGCCAATCAGAGTTCGTACCCAGGTTCGCTGCTGATCAAGCGTCACAACGACAGTCGTGGAAGCGATCGCCACAACAGTCAATTCAGATAAAACGATACTCTTTCGAGGATGATGAGGTTCCAGCCATCCTCAAGTACCTCCTAAAAAGCGACAAAATCAAGCTCCCACCTATTAAAAGCAAGGAGGAAGCCAATGAGAGTTCAGACCCAAATTATTGTGAATACCACAGGAAGATCCTTCATCCCACCAAGGCCTGCTTTGCTTTAAAGAAAAGCATCCAGACCTTAGTTGAAGCCGGCGTCTCAACGGCTCGCTGCTGATCAAACGTCACAACGACAGTCGTGGGAGCGATCGCCACAACAGTCACTTCAGATGCAACGATACTCTTTCAAGGATGATGAGGTTCCAGCCATCCTCAAGTACCTCCTAAAAAACGACAAAATTAAGCTCCCACCTATTAAAAGCCAGGAGGAAGCCAGCGGGAGTTCAGACCCAAAATATTGTGAATACTACAGGAGGATCCATCATCCCACCAAGACTTGTATCACTCTCAAGAATACAATACAGGCCTTAGTTGAAGCCGGCGTCTCAACGGCGGAACAAACTGAATGAGAATGACCACCACACTCCGACAAGTATACGAGTATAAACTGCTTCTTTCAAAACTCCAACGGGTATATGAGTATAAACTGTTTCCTTTGTATCTAATGGGAAGTTCCTGGAGAACATCATACGTGATATTCTTAAGGATAACCCGATATCAATTGCTTATTGAATCAGTCTCTTGAAGTTTTGATGATTCTCAGTAAATTTGAACCCAAATGGGAAGGACCATTTATAGTGGAGACAGTCTACTCGAGTGGCGCATATCGCCTTGTCACCAAAGACGGTGACCGGCTTATGATGCCGATAAACGGCAAATTTTTGAAAAGGTACTATCCTTAGTATCTTCAGGATAACCAATGCATCGGGAAGTTCCCGGAAGAATACCACATGGGAATTCTTAGGGATAACCCAGTCATTGTGGAATTGATAAATAAGAAATCTACGTCCGGACTCTGAATGTCAGAATGTTTGTTCTTATTTTTTCAAAAATTCTCTAACTCTTATGAGTTATTTTTGTGAGATGGGATCTAATCCTCTGATAGGTTGATCTTTCCTCACCAAACCATCCGCTGATCAAATCAAACGACAGTGGGTCCACCAACATTTTCATCTGCCCGTCATTGGCATTTCTCAGATAGGTCCTAAATGCCTAGCATTAAAGTCTCCCTTTGAGTGTTAATACGAGTTGGCACTTTTTTTGCTATCCGTATTCCACTTTCTTTGCTTTCTGGTCAAACCTATAAAAGTTAGGGCCAAAGCCAAAATCCCCTCTCGATTCCTCCAATGAACGAGAGGTCCACTTTCAAATCGAGTGATCAAACCTTCCGATAGTTAGGGTCATCTCAAACTCCAGTCTGGTCAAACCTATAAAAGTTAGGGCCAAAGCCAAATTCCTCTCTCGATTCCTTCCATGAACGAGAAGTCCACTTGGAACAGTCAAACCTATAAAAGTTAGGATTGTTTCCGATCCTCTAGTGAACGAGAGGTCCACTTTCAAATCGAGTGATCAAACCTTCCGACAGTTAGGGTCATCTCAAACTCCTGCTTGGTCAAACCTTCCTACAGTTAGGACCAAAACCAAAATCCCCTCTCGATTCCTCTAGTGAACGAGAGGTCCACTTTCAAATCGAGTGACCAATCCTATAAAAGTTAGGGTCGTTCGAATCTTTCCGATTCTCGGAGTGGAGATCTCACTCTTAGTTTCATCCTGCAGGATTCTGGGGGTGGAGATCCCACCTCGAGTTTCCTTTCCGCCTGAAGATAGAATATAAAATTCTTCCTCTTCAGCACCGGGAGATAGAATATAAAATTCTTCCTCTCCCGTGTCCTTTCCAGCTAAAGATAGAATATAAAATTCTTTCTCTTTGGCACCAGGAGATAGAATATAATATTCTTCCTCTCCTGTTTCCTTTCCAGTTAAAGATAGAATATAAAATTCTTCCTCTTCAGCACCGGGAGATAGAATATAAAATTCTTCCTCTCCCGTTTCTCAATCTGTCTTTGCTTTTAGAAAAGACACGATTCTCAACTTCTAATCCGGGCACTCGATGCACGGGGAATTTTATCCCGAAGCCTGAGTAGGGATAAGTCAACGCCTAACACGCGTTGCCGGGTAGTCTATTCCCGTGAGAAAGACGAAGCCTATGTATTCAAAATCATAGCACAAAGCCTCAGAGAGTTTACTCTCTTAGCACAACGTTACATGTGAGACGGGTTTAATAATTCACATGCTAGTCCGATTTCAAACGGTAATCGGTAAAGACATATCAAACCCGTTGAAGGCTGGGGGTTTGCCAAAAACCCCAAAGTCAACGCCTAACACGCGTTGCCGGGTAGTCTATTCCCGTGAGAAAGACGAAGCCTATGTATCCAAAATCATAGCACAAAGCCTCAGAGAGTTTACTCTCTTAGCACAACGTTACATGTGAGACGGGTTTAATAATTCACATGCTAGTCCGATTTCAAACGGTAATCGGTAAAGACATATCAAACCCGTTGAGGGCTGGGGGTTTGCCAAAAATCCCATAAATCTGTCATTCAGAATAAACACAAAAAAATCATAAAAGAAGCAAATGCGGGATTTCTACTGAAAAGATCAGAAGTCAAAGCATACAACAAGAAGCTCGTTAGCCCGAAGGCAGCTGGCGGCTGAGAATATGAGACTTTAAGCTAAAAAGTCTATCTACATAACTCCGCTCAAGTCCCGCCTCCAGATCAGCTCGGGCAGATTCCTCAGAACTGCTTAAAATCTCCGCAGCTTCACTCTTCAGCTTCATCAGTCTCTCCTGGGTGGATCCGAGCTCCTTGAGTACCTGTTCACGAGAACGCTCTAGTCCAGCCAGGTCACCTACAATAAGAGCAGTGGATTCCTCAATGCACTTCAAGGCCTCTTTCAACCTAATCGTTTCCTCGCGATTCGAGTCCAAAGAGCGGAGTAGCTCAGCTCTCTCTGTATCTTTCCTCGCCACGTTAGCCATTAGTTGCGCAATGGAGCTCTCGTGTGACTGAAGCGCGCACCCGATGGAAGATTTCAGGTCACGTCACTGTGCCATCCTAAGCTCCAACTGAGAGGACACGAAAGAAGAAGCCCCGGTAACCTCCAACTCCTTCAACTCTCGTATCTCCGACTCCAGGGCGGCGAAATCAGCAGTAAAGGAATCGGCCAACTCCGGGTATCCTTCTTCCCTCATCATCATCATGTGGCGAGAAAAGGAACGCCTGAACTGATCGAAGCCGCCTCCTCTATGAAGAAGTTTCTCGATCAGGCCGTTATAAAAGGCAGTGAAGAAGCTGAGGTCCGTACGAAAAGCCTCTCTGTCAGGATGAGTATCGACCAGAAGGGCGCGGACGCGCTCGTATAGGGAAGATCGAGATTCTACAAGCAACAACATAGAAGTTCAGCGGGTTATTGAATACGATAAGGAAATTCAAAAGGCGAGTTCTGAGCATACCAACGCCAACGGACGTCCCCTCAGGTTGAGGTCCGACAGGCTCTGAGACAGTGGCAGAAGTAGTCATAGAGGGTATATCAACCCCTGCAGGCGGATTGCTCACACCACTCGGCAAGGGCGGGGAGGCACCACTTCTATGCAGGCTTTCAGCCCTGGGAACTGTAGTAGTATCAGGCCCAACGGCCGGTCCTATAGTTACACTCCTATATTAGCCAAATGGAAATTTGGACAAATAAGGAGAATCGGGACAAGAAGATCGTATGCATACCTGCAATCCCCCCGTCCTCAGATGCAGCCGGAATGCCAAGAGTCATAAGAGTATCGGCCCAAGCGGCTGGTCCTATGGTGGCACCCTCTTATTAGTCAAAATGAAAATTTAGACAAATAAAGAGGATTGGGATGATAAGGTCATCTGCATACCTGTAGGTCCATCATCCGTAGGTATCTGGGGAATGCCAGGAGTCATAAGAGAATCAGTCCCGGTGGCTGGTCCTATGATTGCACTCATATATTAGGCAAAAGCCAGATAAACATGGAGAAGTACGATAACCCTAAATCGTATGTGTACCTGCGAACCCGTCACTCCGAGGCAAGCTGGATATGCCAGGGATCGATATCGGGCTAATCCCAATGGTTGGCGCTGCAATATTAATCCTTCATCAGTCAGATAAAAGATCAAGCAAAAGGAAGGGAACCAGATATATACCGGTGGATGAATCATTCCCAAAGAATGGTCTCTCGGTTCCTCTGGAAGTCTGCTCAGCCAGCATGTCAGCTAATAAGCCGGCATCGGGCTTCGAGAAGCTTGGCCTGTCCATCGCAACCTCTGCAGGGTAACCTGAATGTTGAAAGATGAGGAGAGCTCGAGAAAATACTTTCAGCAAAAACGGAAGATCTTCCTTCCCCATGCTTGAGGAAAGTAACATTGGATGTAGATATACCTGAATATGGGACTGGGGGCTCAACATTATTCATCTGCTCAAGATCGATGTTTAGATCGATGCCCAAAGACCCATCATGAAGGGCGTCGCACATCTGTTGCATAAAGCAATCCATGTTATCAGCACCAGGAGATACCGAACCCGGTGGGAGTTCACCCTCTTCGAAGAAACCTGGAGCATGAAACATGGTTACAAATCCCAAAAGGTAAACAGCCTTAAAGCAATAGCAATAAAATGTTACCTTCCCCTCCATCAGCAGTGCTTCCTAAGTCCGCTCCGTAAGGGCGCTGACCGTCGTGGGGCTTATGAGCGGTCTTCTTCCTCTTCGGGGCACCAACCCTCCGAGGACCAAAGGGTCGGTCATGCACAGGCCTGTCACACGTTTCAACGTGTGTAGGAGCCGGCGGCTCATGATCGTCGGCTGTCCTACCTAAAGTGACAATAGCCATTTCATTAAATGGACAAGAGCTGTTATTAATGGAGAAGGAGAATCAAAGAGGAAGGACAAACCGGTATCGAGCTCTTCTCGGTCGGTGTCTGCATCCACATATTCTTCCTCGGAGGTCTCGTCCTCGTCACCCGTAGGGAGAAGCTCTTCATCATCTGTGAGAAGAGATTTGGCATGCCCTTTTCTCCGCTTCTGAGCAAGCTCAGCCCTGCGACCAGCCATCATAGCAGCCCGGACCGAGTACTCTGACTATAACTCGGAAAGGCTCCTCACACTGAGGGATTCATAAGCGGAAAGGAACCACTTGCAGCTGAGGAAAGTGGTCAGCGGCTTACGCCTATATGAAGGGAGAGCAAAATGGGCTCCAGTGCAGCCCACACGAACGAAGCCGAGCGCGTACGCACGATCAATCTCCCTCAACCTGCAGGCTACGCGGCTCAGATTCCCGACGTACAGTTGTCATAGCCGAACTGCGCGAGCAAAAGCGGCACAAGGGAGATAAGCTCTATTTGGCATTGATCTTCACCGGAGGACAAGATACCCAAGCGCGGATGTTCACTAGCACCGCCGAAGCAACCACGTCGAGAACGGTCCGGTCCACTTCTAGTTCTCCTCATCACATCAGCCACGTCACCATTACGACCCTGAAACTGCAGGAAAACACTTAAGAACTCCCCAGCTCTTGCGGACTCGAAGCTCTCGCTACACATCACTGAATTTGGTGCCCGCAGCCATCTACTTCTTCTTCCAACAGCATGATGAAAGGAACGGGACACAACAACGCTGGCGCCGACATCAAGTCAGGACGGTGTAAGAACAGCCACGCCTCAGATAAGCGTAAGGAAGCTCGACCTTCGGAACAAATAAACTCATTTGATGTTCAGAACCCATCTTGTGTGAAAACTGCCCCACTAGACACCTGAGCCCGCAATGGATGCCAGCAACCATCGCTGGGAGCAGGGAAAGCTCTCTCCCGTAAGCTAGCTGAACTGCAGGGAAGAGCACCTCGATGGGTAGAGCATCTGAAGGCTGGTGCGGGACAACACACTTCTTCAACCAAAGGGCAAGGTAGCCTGCTAATAGAGTCCGGGGCCCTATGGACTTCTGTGCGCGGCGGAGAAAAGAGCGAAACTTGGTCCCCGCGGGAAAAGTTCCCTCAGCACTGGCAATAGTGTAAGATTGAGCCTCAGTCTTCTCCAGCAACTCATTAACCGCAGAAGGGACCAATATATCTAACGCATGAACGGGCTCGTCGGAGTTACCCTCCAAGTTCTGGAACAAATAGCAGGCAAACTGCTTCAAGCTGACCTGCCTCTTCCTCTTCGCTTGAGGAGAAGTCTGAACCAAGGAGGTGTGATAATGACAGGTAAGATCCCAGAGAGTGTCATACATGTCGGGAGTATCTTTCTTCATACACTCCAACTGCTGGTTCGAGGGAAAATACTCCTGATACGGGCAATCTCCCATCGGAAGACCAGAAACATGATGCATCTCGTGCAAGGCCAACCCTAACTCACCACCGCTGGTCAGAAAGGTGTTGCTGTCAGGCATGTAGGTCTCCAGCAAAGCCAAGAAATGGCGACAGCTGACTGGGATTCCGTGCATGGTGGCTCGTATAGGTGCATACAACCCACTGCTCTTCAGTTCCCTCTCCCAACGCGCTAAGACAAAACTGGTCATGCGTGCCCACCACCCCTTGGCTAGTGAGGAAGCCCAACCATAGCATCTGTATTCTGGTATAGGTAACCGTCTCCCCAGAAGAGCTAGACGATTACTCACGGTAGGAGCAGCTGCTGACACCTCGCCTGGGGGTGCAGTGTCAAGGCCCATAATCCCGGGTCGAAGACCACGAACGTCATGATACCCGTTAGAGCCGGGGGTCTTATGGTGAGTGGCATATCCACACTGAACCCGCTCAGCATCTTCAGTAAGGTGCCAAGACATCTGTCGCTCCACGGCTTGCCCCTTCAAGTGACTGAAAGAATATTGGCGCGGAATCGAGGGGATGTACAAACAAGCTCCCTCGTCAAGAGTCAGCCAGTGCTCCTTGCCAAGGGTCAGCGCAGCAGGATCCTCGACATGATCCCCGAACAAGAAGCTCGGCTTCTGTAAAGCCTGAGTGGAGGTAGAATCAGCGGTAAAGGAGGCATCTGTGATAAGCTGGCGCAAGCAATGGCGCCCTCCTTCCCGTATCAAGCGGCAAGATTCGTTTGAACGACCTCTATCGAACCGAGGAAGTGGGCTAACAGCCTGCCTAAGGGAAGCCGAAGAGAAGACCTCCCGACTACAACCAGTATTGGCATGAGAAGGAAGACTGCCCGAGGGGAACTCGACTGTAACAAAACACAAGAACGGAGTCAGAAAATCCATCTCACAAGAGAGCGAACTAAGTCATCCACGGGGGCAATTGGAGTGACGATTTTGAGTGTCCCACACTGAAAGAACGGTATGCGTCATCACGTAAACAACGTGGTAACATATACCGACCTACAAAGTGTAAGACAACACAATATCGCCCCAATATACCGGAAGACTTGAATTGGCCAGGCAAAACAAGTCCTGAAGGAGGATGTCGGTTCTTCCCGAATGACCCGCGAAGGGGCCAAGCGAGGATACAGCAGAGCCACAAGTCCTGAAACCTCGCCCCCCGCGAAGGAGGATGTCGGTTCTTCCCGAATGACCCGCGAAGGGGCCAAGCGAGGATACAGCAGAGCCACAAGTCCTGAAACCTCGACCCCCGCGAAGGAGGATGTCGGTTCTTCCCGAATGACCCGCGAAGGGGCCAAGCGAGGATACAGCAGAGCCACAAGTCCTGAAACCTCGACCCCCGCGAAGGAGGATGTCGGTTCTTCCCGAATGACCCGCGAAGGGGCCAAGCGAGGATACAGCAGAGCCACAAGTCCTGAAACCTCGACCCCCGCGAAGGAGGATGTCGGTTCTTCCCGAATGACCCGCGAAGGGGCCAAGCGAGGATACAGCAGAGCCACAAGTCCTGAAACCTCGACCCCCGCGAAGGAGGATGTCGGTTCTTCCCGAATGACCCGCGAAGGGGCCAAGCGAGGATACAGCAGAGCCACAAGTCCTGAAACCTCGACCCCCGCGAAGGAGGATGTCGGTTCTTCCCGAATGACCCGCGAAGGGGCCAAGCGAGGATACAGCAGAGCCACAAGTCCTGAAACCTCGACCCCCGCGAAGGAGGATGTCGGTTCTTCCCGAATGACCCGCGAAGGGGCCAAGCGAGGATACAGCAGAGCCACAAGTCCTGAAACCTCGACCCCCGCGAAGGAGGATGTCGGTTCTTCCCGAATGACCCGCGAAGGGGCCAAGCGAGGATACAGCAGAGCCACAAGTCCTGAAACCTCGACCCCCGCGAAGGAGGATGTCGGTTCTTCCCGAATGACCCGCGAAGGGGCCAAGCGAGGATACAGCAGAGCCACAAGTCCTGAAACCTCGACCCCCGCGAAGGAGGATGTCGGTTCTTCCCGAATGACCCGCGAAGGGGCCAAGCGAGGATACAGCAGAGCCACAAGTCCTGAAACCTCGACCCCCGCGAAGGAGGATGTCGGTTCTTCCCGAATGACCCGCGAAGGGGCCAAGCGAGGATACAGCAGAGCCACAAGTCCTGAAACCTCGACCCCCGCGAAGGAGGATGTCGGTTCTTCCCGAATGACCCGCGAAGGGGCCAAGCGAGGATACAGCAGAGCCA